GCCTTACAGACCCTTGACGGGCAGCGTCACCCACCCGCGGAGGAGCTCTCCGCTCGCCCCGGGCTCCCAATTCGGACGAGGCCGGCTTCCCTCTCCTCTCTTCGGCTTCCCCACGGAACAAGAGCACCAAAACCCGCGCTCCCACCGGAAGCCCCGCTTCCTACGCCTGCGCTCTCCTTCCTCCCTTTCCCTCGCCAACTGGTGACGCACATCCGGCAAACAGTCCCTCCCCCATCTAATTTTCCTATTGGCTGACGTGGGATGGCGTCAGCGAGAGCCGCGCGGAGGCAAAGATGGAGGGGAGCGAGCGAGCATTTGCCCTGAAGCAGGGGAAGAAAAGGATCTTCTCTCTGATTGGCTGCTCCTGACGTCAATCAGGAGCCCTGGAATATGATTCCCTCCCCTTCCCCCCACGTGTAAATACATACACATAAGGTATGGTATGGCAAACTTGAGCCCTCCAGGTGTTTTGGACTTCAACTCCCACAATTCCTAATGGCCTCAAGCAGACAAGAATTCAGGCAGAAAACAGCCAGGCTTTGAAGCTAATCAAGCTGGCCAATTGCCTCAAACAGACAAGAGTTCTTTCTCCCACCCTGGACATTATTCCACAGATATATAAACCTCACCTACCTAGTTTCCAACTAACCTCAGAACCTCTGAGGATGTCTGGCATAGATGTGGGCGAAACATCAGGAGTGAATGCTTCTGGAACATGGCCAGACAGGCTGGAAAACTCACAGCAACCCGACAATAAATCTTTGGGTTGTTGTAGGTTTTTTTGGGCTATATGGCCATGGTCTAAAGGCATTCTCTCCTGACGTTTCGCCTGCATCTATGGCAAGCATCCTCAGAGGTAGTGAGGTCTATTGGAACTAGGAAAAAGGGGTTTATATATCTGTGGAATGACCAGGGTGGGACAAAGAACTTTTGTCTGTTGGTGCTAGGTGTGAATGTTTCAACTGACCACCTTGATTAGCATTTGATGGCCTGGCAGTGCCTGGGGCAATCTTTTGTTGAGAGGTGATTAGATGTTCCTGATTGTTTCCCCTCTGTTGTTTTGCTGTTGTAATTTTAGAGTTTTTTAATACTGGTAGCCAGATTTTGTTCATTTTCATGGTTTCCTCCTTTCTGTTGAAATTGTCCACATGCTTGTGGATTTCAATGGCTTCTCTGTGTAGCCTGACATGGTGGTTGTGAGAGTGGTCCAACATTTCTGTGTTCTCAAATAATATGCTGTGTCCAGGCTGGTTCATCAGGTGCTCTGCTATGGCTGACTTCTCTGGTTGAAGTAGTCTGCAGTGCCTTTCATGTTCCTTGATGCGTTTCTGGGCGCTGCGTTTGGTGGTCCCTATGTAGACTTGTCCACAGCTGCATGGCATACGGTAGACTCCTGCAGAGGTGAGAGGATCCCTCTTGTCCTTTGCTGAATGTAGCATTTGTTGGATTTTCTTGGTGGGTCTGTAGATAGTTTGTATGTTGTGTTTCCTCATCAGCTTCCCTATGCGGTCAGTGGTTCCCTTGATGTATGGCAAGAACACTTTTCCTCTGGGTGGATCTTTCGTCTTTATTTTCGTGGCCCTTCTGATGTCTGAGGTGGAGTATCCATTGTCCTGTAGAACCCAGTTGAGGTGGTTCAGTTCATCTTGGAGGAGGTGGGGTTCACAGATTTATTTATTTTTTTGCGTGGTCTGCCAAGGCTTTAATGGTGCTTTCTTTATAGTCCACTTTTGTCCCACGAAGGAAGCTACGAAAGCAGCTTCCAACATACTAAATACAGTACAAAACAACAGCAATTAAAGCACACATATATAAAGCAACCCATAAACATAAGATATGCATTTTAAAACAATATACATTAGTATGAAAGCTTGCCAGATCATAATGCACCTCTCTCCTTTATATTTTATGCAATATTCGTTTTCTTTATATCACCCCATTTCTATATAGAAAATCAGAAGATATTTTCTGTTGTTTCTAACACAGCATGAAGACTAAATTGCATAGACAATCTATAGTAGTGTATTAGTACTAGTTAGTTAGGTCCTGAACAAGGAAATTTATAATGCTACATATTATTTATACTTTGAAAGGAAGGCCTTGTTACTGCAAAGTACAGTAATATTTTTTCCTGTTATGCCTCTCTTATGGCAGCAGAGAGCAGCAGTGAGCTTATATTGGGTTGTGAGTTTTCCCTGCTTTGCCAGTGATCTGACTCTTGGGCCCTTTCCACACTGAACAGGATTATATGGCAGTGTGGACTCAGATATTCCACTTTAAATAAGATATTGTGGATTATCTGCCTTGATATTCTGGGTTGTATGGCTGTGTGGAAGGGCCCTTGGTTTTGTGAAAGGAAATTGGTGACAAACATCGGAAATCTCTGTATTGTTGTAAGTTTTTGAGGCAGTCTAGCCATGTTCTAGAAGCATTCTCTCCTGACGTTTCACCTGCAACTATGGCAGGCATCCTCAGAGGTTGTGAGGTCATAACCTCACAACCTCTGAGGAAGCCTGCCATAGTTGCAGGTGAAACGTCAGGAGAGAATGCTTCTAGAACATGGCTATACATCCCGAAAAACTTACAACAACCAGGGATTCCGGCCATGAAAGCCTTCGACAATACACTGAAAATCCCCTTTCAGATGAAAAAGTGCAAAACCTCTATGCATGAAACAATTGACAGGCCCCTTCCACACATTGGACTGGATTATCTGGCAGCACAGACTCAGATAATCCAGTTCAAAGCAGATATTGTGGAGTATCTGCCTTGATGTTCTGGATTATATGACTGTGGGAAAGGGTCCATGGTTTTATGCCTCTCTTGTTCCTAAACGGGGGGGGGGGGGGGGGGGGGGGGGTTAGTGGTTTCTGTGTGTACTATAGGTGTGAGAAATTGTTCAGGAGAGCGTAAACCAGACCAATTACCAAAAGGTCCCCATTATGCAGTAAGCTTTGAAGTCTGAGACTTAAAAAACACCTTTGCCATATTTCAGTGTAAACCAGAACGGAAATCTATTTGAGTGATGATTTTTCATGAAGAGTTTTGCTCATGCATGTGGTGTTATTTTAATCAATATATAGTTATTACACAGTTAACTGCTGGCAAACAACTATGAACAGCATCAGGAACATGCAGCAGCTAGAGAGGAATTGCTAAAGGCCTTTCCAGACAGGCCCTATATCCCAGGATCCAACCCAGGGTTTTTGCTTTAAACTGGATTATATGAGCCCACACTGCCAATCAATCTGGGATAGACAGAAAAGCTGGGATCAGATCCTGGGATATTAGGCCTGTCTGTAAGTCTGTAAGTCCTAACAGTGCAAACATGCTCCCATTTACAGATGTGGGTGCAAGCAGTTAATCTGGAAGCAGTGAAAGGCATGACAGAGTCTCACAATCCCTCAGCATTTAGGACTGGGGACAACCGCGCCCTCAACAGAGAGGGCAGATGGTGACCCTTCAGTGGCACAATCATCTGAGCAGGAAAGAGGTGACAAGTAACCCCTTATTCATGGGTTTGCTATCCATGATTTCACTCTACCCCCCCCCCCCCAAAGTGTTTGTGGAGCTATCTAAGTCCTCCATTGTGATAACTGGCCCAAGGCCCCTTCCACACAGCTGTATAAAATCCACATTAAACTGGATTATATGGCACAGTGGACCCAGATAATCCAGTTCAAAACCGATATTGTGGATTATCTGCCTTGTTATTCTGGGTTATATGGCAATAAATCCACACTGCCATATAATCCAGTTCAATGTGGATTTTATACAACTGTGTGGAAGGGGCCAGGGAGAGAAAAGGTGAGGCATTTTAAAAGCAGCAGAAAACAACAGGGACCCTAAAAGTTACTGAGGTCCGAGAATTTGCACCAATCACAACAAAACTCTATTATTTCACATGTCAATCAAATCTCTATGCTCCTAATCACAGCCCCCCCCCCCCCATTTTTCTTTCAGAGGCAGACTAAAACTTTCTTATTCAGACAGGCTTTTAAAGATGAAGGTGTTTTAAGATTTAGTCAGGGGTTCTGTGGTTTTTAACACTGAATATGTTTTAGATGGATTTTAACTACATCTTTTAGTGCTGTTTGTGTTTAATTATGTTTTAATACTTGTATTTTTATATATTGTAAATTGTATACTAATGCTTTTTATGTCAAGCCACTTTGAGTCCCCTTTGGGGAGATAAAGTAGGGTATAAATACAGTACAGCAAGGTGGATTTTACACACTTTTATTTGGAAAACTAAAAAAAAGGAGAAACAGAAGATCCTAATTAATATTTTTAATAACAATCCTTTGCCTTCACCTTTATATATGTATGTATATGGATTAAGTTCTGATATAGTTCTATATTCCTCATCCTGTGAAGATGAGATGTTAACTTCTGTTGAAGTGGAAGCCATTTTCTACATTTATAAGAATATATGATTTCTGTTTTCATAGTTAGTTGTATCAGAGGTATCTTTATTCCATTTTAATTCAGTGAATGAAAGGTAACAGATGAATTGAGGCAGTCTGTCTATGTAAGGAAATAAGTACTGACCTACTTTCTAGAGCAGAGGTGGGAGCCATAAGGCCTTCCAGATGTTGTGGGTCTACAGTTCCCTGTAACCCTACTTGCCATATCCACTGATAAGAAATGCTGGGAACTATAGTCCAGCAATATTTAGGAGAACCGTATGACTCACTGCTATCCTAAAGGATATTTCTGCATATGTATGTTTGCATGTACTGCACTGTGGATTCATTTAAGAATGCATTTAAAAGCTGACGTGTGTGTGTGTGTGTATTGCTGTGATGCGGCGGCATCAATAGGAATATAGTGTCTAGATCCAGAGAAATCATGCTACCACACTATTCTGCCTTGGTTAGACCACACCTGGAATACTGTGTCCAATTCTGGACACGGCAATTGAAGGGAGATGTTGACAAGGTGGAATGTGTCCAGAGGAGGGCTACGAAAATGATCAAGGGTCTGGAGAACAAGCCCTGTGAGGAGCAGCTTAAAGAGCTGAGATGTTTAGCCTGAAGAAGAGAAGGTTGAGAGGACACATGATAGCCATGTATAAATATGTGAGAGGAAGTCATAGTGAGGAGGGAACAAGCATGCTTTCTGCTGCCCTGGAGACTAAGTCGCAGAACAATGGCTTCGAACTACAAGAAAGGAGATTCCATCTGAACATTAGGAAGAACTTCCTGACCGCAAGAGCTGTTCAGAAATGGAACTCTCTGCCCTGCAGTGTGATGGAGGCTTCTTCTTTGGAGGCTTTTAAATAGAGCTGGACAGCCATCTGTCGGGGGTACTTTGAATGCGATTTTCCTGCTTCTTGACCGGGGGTCGGACTGGATGGCCCACGAGGTCTCTTCCAATTCTATGATTCTATATCTTTCCCTCATTTCTCATAATCAGGTGCTTGAATTATCTTTTATTTTCAACATTCTTCCTCTCCTTGGGCTAGCTTTTAGTCTTTTTCCTCTATGTGAACATTTATCATATAGCATAATGTAGTGCGCATATTTTGTGCAACAGTATTTAAAAAGGATGTGGTTATGGGTTTTTTTACATCAGAAAGGAAGCTAGCTAAACTGCATTGCCTGGATGACAGATGGAAAGATAATGCACCTACGCTGTTTTTCAAATACACTTTTATAAAAATCCTTGTCTCCTGATTTCTCTTTCTTGAGCTCATATGTAGCATTCAGGTATAATAAAGCAGATGCTTTCCCATCCTGGCGTAAGACCATTACTTGTTGGACAATGAATAACTGTGTTCTGCTTGAAGAAGAACTGATCAAAAAGTCCCAGCAAAAGCGAAGGACCTCTCCCTCCAATTTTAAAGTTCGATTCTTCATTTTAACAAAATCAAGGCTGGCATATTTTGAACGTCGCCCTGGGGTATGTGTGCTTTCTCTCTCTTTTTCAGACTTTATTGGTAAGGAATGTTATAGGGACAAACTGAGCAGAGTTTTGTGACCCATGCATTATTTCTTCAGAGCCAGGATTCAGATTTGACATTGGTTTTTGTTCATTTGTATATGAAATGTGCTGTTTAAGGAGATAGGTTATATATGGGTCATTTCATATTATTTTTCTCCCTTGCCACTTTGCATTTTTCCTTTGCATTTTGAGGACTTATATTCTCATACTAAGTCCTTGTGTTCATTCTTAATTAGGATTAGCATCCACTATCCAGGATTTGAGGCTGAATACCTCTGGTATTTTCCTGGTCTTCCATTGAAGTATTAGCCAGGCCTCCTTAGCTTGCAAAGTCCTACAAGTTCAGATGTATTTGGGATGGTATGGTCGATTGGCTCACAGAAAGGTATGATTATGCCTGTACATTTTACGAGGGATCCCTTTCAGGACATTTGCACTCCTGACTTTTATGGATATATTGTACAAGTTGTTGAATTAATTATAAATGCCAAGAAACATAAGCAGATTAAAGTATTTATGACAAGGATATTGGTTCTTAATGTTTTACTGAAGGGTTCTCAAGGGCAGTCTTTAAGGACAAGCCGACAAGTTCTTTATCTTCTGTGGCTTTGAAGAAAAGGAAATTGACCCACGTCCCAAAGGGTTAGAGCATCTGTCTGAGACAGACCATTCAGGCACAGACACAAATACAGATCTCATACAGACTAAGTCACATTGCGGTTTATAATATTCTCACAAGGGATCGATATGGTATGTGCAAGTCTTTCATGTTCCATAGTGAAATAATAACTTGCCTACAATTATTTAAGCTTTATTTATTTATTTATTTACTTACTTTGCTTATATACCGCTGTATCTCAAGCCCGAAGGCGACTCACGGCGGTTCACAAACAGTAAAAACAGTAGAAACAGCAGTGGTTCCATACAACATATAACAATTGACTTAACACATTATCTATAAATTACCAATAAGCAATTACAATGCACAATTATTACAAAAAACAACCGTACCCAATCTTCTCATCATCCAAGTGTAGTCCAGGTTCGTCGTCCATTGTTCCATTCCTATGTTCCATTACCAGATTGCACTAAATTACTCAAACGCCTGCACAAACATCCAGGTCTTCACTTTTGCTTAGCTTTCTGCTAAGTAAAGTCTTATTGGTCAACTCCTTGCATGTTTAACTTGTACTGTGTACTCACTTTTTAAAAGGCATTTAATGTGTTGATTTTTCATCTCTCAGGTTTTAATATTGTGGGGTTGTGCATATGTCTCTATATTTCAGAAATATTTTGATATTGAATCCATTGTCTATCACACTGAGTTCTCTTGCAAAAGCATTGAAAATAGGTCAACGGGGGTTTGGGTTTCCTGTCTTTACCACCAACACTGGATGCTTCCACTTAGAACTACAACTACCAGGCCCGTAGCCAGGATTTTGTTTCGGGAGGGGCTGAGTTTGATTCGGGGGGGGGGGGCTGAGTCTGAGTGAAAGAGGGTCTACCCTAGCAAACCTTTTGTATCATTACACCAATACCCCCATGCATATGTGATATATTGAGCATGGTGATCAGATCATGATATGAATAAACATAACAGTTTAAATAATGTACCAGTAAGGCCTTCTCGCGGACAACCCTGAGAATTTGGGGGGTCTATATGCCTATATGCCTGACAACTACCATACTGTTTAGGGAATTCTTTTTCCCAAGCTCTGTGTATAGTTTGGTGGACAAGATCATGATATGAATTTGCAACGGGAAGAATGGCTACCCTTTCCTTTGCTTAAACTGGAGATATAACAGTCAGTGTCCAGGGTCTATGATATAATCTCTTGATGACAGTCATGGCAGAGATGCAGTCACAATGTTATCTATTACATTTCCCATTCAGTTCTTGAGACTGTACAGCTTCAGATAAGATTTTATTGAAGATCACTATTGGGGTTCCTAGTTCAACCAGTCAAAAGGCATTTTCTGGCTATTCGATCAATTGAATGTTTGTGGTAAAACAAAACAAAACTTCAAAAAGATGGTGGAAAGACTAGAAATGGGAAATGATGCTATATCAATGCCCATACAATTCTGTGAATGACTGAACATACCAAGAAGTGCCACGTAGCTGCATCTGTGATTTCAAGAACCTATGTGGAAAAACAGTGTGGAATTTGGGCTTTTTAAATAAGCTTTTTTGGGATTTTTAAAAATACAATATTAAAAATAACAACACAATAAACCAACCTAAAAGTTTCATCTAAACATAACTATTTAAAACAGACAAATTATATTCTTTCTTCCTCCCCTGCATCTAAACACATTTCAAAAATGTTATAAGTTTAAACCTCTGCTTAAAAACCTATTCTATAAATTAATATTCAAATCTCACAAATATTACTACCGTATTTTCTGGCATATTAGATGACTTTTAAACCCTGGAAAATCCTTGCTGAACTAGGGGGGTGTTCTAGTACACCTGGTATAAAAAATCACTTCCTGTTTTTGGTCGAGGCGAGGGAGGTGCACAGCGGCCCTACGCTGGAGCAGGGCGCCGGAAGCAGCAGCAGCTGCTGCGCTCGTCCAGCGCCGCTTGTCTCCCGCTGCTGGGCTTCAGCCTCACCAAGGGGCTCTTCAACTCTATGCCCACCTTGGCTGTCCGTGCTACGGAGGAGGAGGAGGTGATATATTCGCTGGATGGCCACATCGCCGCCGCCTCCTCATCCGCCACCACACAGACAGTCGAGGCGGGCCTGGAGTGGAAGAGCCCCTCGGTGAAACTGAAACTCAGCAGCGGGAGACAAGAGGCGCCGGAGGGCAGCCCTGAGGTTCCACTTGTCTCCTGCTGCTGAGCTTCAGTTTCACCGAGGGGCTCTTCCACTCCAGGCCCACCTCGGCTATCAGTGCAGTGACAGAGGAGGAGGCAATATACTCGCCAGATGGCTGCATTGCCTCCTCCTCTTCCTCTGCTTCCACTGCTGCAAGGATAGCCGAGGCGGGCCTGGAGTGGAGGAGCCCCTCAGTGAAGCTAGAGCCTGACAGTGGGAGACAAGCAGAACCTGAGGGTTGCCCTATGGCGCCGCTTGTCTCCCGCTGCTGAGCTTCAGTTTCACTGAGGGGCTCTTCTACTCCAGGCCCACCTCGACTGTCCATGCGGTGGCGGAGGAGGAGGAGGAGGCAACGTGGCCATCCAGCAACTATATCACCGCCTCCTCCTCCTCCACCGCACTGACAGCATAGAGTGGGCATAGAGTGGAAGAGCCCCTCGTTGAGGCTAAAGCCCAGCAGCGGGAGACAAGCGGCGCTGGAGGAGCATAGCTGCTGCTGATGCTGCTTCGGGCGCCCTGCTCCAGCGCAGGGCAGATGCCCACCTCCCTCACCTGTTAGGAGACTCCATCTTGTTTTGGACCCAAAACAGGAAGTGATGAGCATGGCGGTTGGCTGGCTGTGGCGGGGCCTGGCTGGCGGTGGAAGGGAGGCTGCCTCTATGGAGCCGAGAAGCCGCCTCAAAGACCAGGAAAGGAGGCTTTGGGGCCTGAAGGGGCTGGCAAGAGGGGTAGTCTAAGAGGGCGAGTATATCCAAATTTGAAATTGAAAAGTTGGGGGGTTGTCTTATGCGCCCAGTCGCCTAGTACGTCGGAAAATATGGTACTTCTTTCTTGTTTTCAAATCTAAATGGTTCCCACTCATTTACCAAGTTTTTTGTCAAATTCTCTTTCATCAGTATATACAATTTATCCATTTCAGCTGGATTGCATATGTTCATCATTCATTTTTTAAAAAAAATCATGGAATATTTTTTTCATTTTTAAAGATAACTGTCATGCTGCCTAAATCACATAACATATTCTGTAATATTTCAACTCCTCATTTTGTTCATTAAAAGTTTTCCGTCAAAATGATTCTGGATTCAACTGAGTTTTTGTTCTAGCATCAAAATCTGACTCAGTTCCCAATATTTCTTTGGGGCTCTTCCACTCCAGGCCCACCTCGGCTGTCAGTGCAGTGGCAGCCTTTCATTCGTCTGTCTCATAAAAAGGCATCCTCTTCATTAAAAGTTCCCCATCTAACTGATTGTGTATTTAACTAAGCCCTTTTCTATTAAAAGCTTGCATATTTCTTAATATTCCTTTGCCATTTCATCCTTCCATCTCATATAAAGAAAGGTATCTTCTGAATGTCCCTGTTTCCCCCATCTAAAGGGGATGCCATACAGTCCAGGGAATTCTACAACCTTGAGCCATGGAAATTAAAGTGGTGTCAAATTGTGTTGCCGTAATTCTACATTGCAGATGCAACCTATGTTTACAAATCAGCTAACATTTTGCAAAATATTTACATAATATACTGTATATTATCTTGTCTCCAAAGTTAATGTCTACAAATGCATGGCACTGGTGAGTGATCAGCACATATATCACATTGTCCTGTCATGACTACTTTTTAAGTAGTAGCAGCCCCACCTGATTACTCAAAGTATATTCTGTATGTTTTACGGCATAAAGGACTGAATGTCGGACAAAGGTGTGTTTAGGGGTGCATCTACATTATAGAATTGATGCCGTTTGGCACCACTTAAACTGCCATGGCTCCATGCTATGGAATCCTGAGAGCAGCAGTTTGGTGAGGCACTGGCGCTCTTTGGCAGAGAAGGGAAAAGATGTTGTAAAACTATAGCTCCCAAAATTCTATAACATTGAGGGGAACTGTGAGTGCAATCCCATGTCTCCAGGCTGCCTGAGTCCAGGAAACATGGGGTAGTTGTGTAAACAGCTGAATCCCAACTGTTCACATTGATCCAAAGTCACGGGCTACACTGGAATCTGGGAGAGAATTCGGGGCAACCCCAACTTTGGATAACATGATTTCAAAGGCTGTGTTAAGCAGCTCTGGCCTGTGTTAACCCAGATCAGCTTCATTCATTATTTTATCTGTTAAAGGAGGGTGGCTTGTGCTAATTGGCC